GTGTTTTTTTTTTTCTTCTTTTTTTTTTTTTTTTCTTTTTGGGTCGCCGCTTCAAGATGGCGGCGATGGGACTGGGTCACGTGACGGCGGCAGGGATCAGGTGACCGGCGAGTGCGAGGGCCCCGCTCCGCCTGTCCGTCGCCATGGAGACCGCGGGGCCCCGCCCCCTCCCCCCGGCCCTTCTGGTCTGCCTGGCGCAGAGATGCCCCGGGAGCCTCTGCTGCCCTTGGTGGCACAACACGGTTCTCACCCTCCTGGTCCCCGAGCAAACCCACCGAAGTGCTGAGCCCAGGAAAGCAGGGGCATGTCCCCTTTCTGCAGCTGAAATGTCCCATGGGCAGTGGCGATGCGTAGGGGGTGCACATGCACCCCCTGCCAGCCAGCCTTCCCGGGCAGGCGACAGCGCCGGTGCCCCCCTGAGAGCACCGACCGGGGAGCGGTCCCTCTGCAGCTGATCCTGCCAACGTGGAAGTGCCAGCACCGCTGCCAGTTGTGGGTCGGCAGGATCAGCACAATCGGTCGCCGCAGGGACCCCCCTCCCTGGTCAGCAGGATGAGACCCACCTCCCAGCCTGTGGGATTGGCAGCAGGGGGACTCCCCCCAGTCGCTGGCTCTCCAGTCAGGGGGGGCAAGTGCCCCCCTGACTCAGGAGGTGCCAGTCGCCCATGCCCATGGGTGCATCTTCCAAGAGGCAGCTTGAGCCCTTTGTGGGAGACAATAAAGGTGACAAAGTTCTTTGGGTAAATGGCGTATCTTTTATTAGACCAACTGAAATATAGGTAACCCTTGCTTAGCGCTCTTAGTTGGCTCCTGAAAAACTGAGCGTTAAGTGAAACGAGCAGTAAGTGAAACCGAGATGGTGACTGCAAGTGTTTTTACGGCAAGTCGCCATCGATGGCAACCAAATGTTAAGTGAAATGAGCAGTAAGTGAAACCAAAAGTATTTGATGACCCAAGATGGTGACTGCAGCTGATCTTGGGTCATTTGACTTGCGACTGCAAGTGACTGTGAGCGTTATAATGAAACTCGCTGAGTGCTAAGTGAAATCAGGTACAGGCAACCCCCACTTAGTGCTCTTAATTGGTTCCTGAAAAACCAAACCTTTAAGTGAAACGAGTGTTAAATGAAACCGGAAGTATTTGATGACCCGAGATGGCAACCAGCAATTGTTTTAATGACCCAAGATGGTAACCACGAGCGTTATAACAAAACTTGCTGAGCGCTAAGTGAAATCAGATATCAATTTAAAATGAGCATTATAGCGAAATAGCACTAAGCGAAACAGTGTTAAGCGGGGGTTGGCTGTGTCAATTTAAAATGAGTGTTAGGGTGAAATAGCGCGACATGAAACAGCATTAAGCGGGGCTTACCTGTATCTATTTTAAATGAGCATTATAGCGAAATAGTGCTAAGCACAACAGCGTTAAGCAGGGGTTGCCTGTAGTTGGAAAAATCCTTTGCAAATGTTTGGGTACAACCACCCTTCTGTTTGTACCCAAAAGCTTGCGAAGAAGAATTTTCTCAACTATTTTACTTGATCTAATAAAAGATACCAGATTTACCCAAAGAACCTTGTCTGTCTACATCCTTAGACCAGCACGGCTACAGCCAAAACCCCTGGAACAGTAAGTCGAGGCATTTGGGAGCTCAGCGCTAGTGGCAATCCTTTCAAGATGAACTCAAGAAAGCACGGCCAGGAAAGGAGCCTAGATATTTCAGTTGGCTGCTGAGAAAAGGTGGTAGTGGGTTATTGCAGGCATTGGGATATAGGTGTGATCCAGAAAGTTGGTGTTTTCTCCTGATTTTCCTCAGAGCCTGCTTATGACTTCTGCACAACTTTCACATGGCCGGAAACTGCCTTCAGAGTTGTCATCGTAGCCAACGTTTTAACTTCACGTGTTAGTCTTGAGTGTACAAACTCATGTGACTGGGACGTCGGTTACTTTTATTATAAGTAATAAATCAGTAAGTATGGTAGTAACAGTTCAATAACAAAACCAAAATGGCTGATTGTTGTTATATCATTGTACAAAGTCCAACTCTAGTTTTGCCTACCTTGCAATGCCCATTTGAGATGCTTCTTACCCCAGAACATGCAAATTCTAGAGCAGGATCACAGAAAGCTACCAAGTTTCCATGATACTCCTAATGTCACAAACTGAATGGATTAAAAATGAATCTATCTGTTCCTTATTACCCAGAAAAAGAGCGCATTTGAGTCTCAGTAATATTAGCAGATAGTCTATGCTAAAATGAAATAGTCTTGTCCAGAACTCCAGTTTCTTTTACTTAACATGAATATTGTTGAGAATGTAATATAGGACTGCAATGTCTCTTCAGTAGCCATGCCTGCAGACATTATAATGGTCTAGTGTTTTGTGACAGTTTCTTTCACTGTAGAGTTAACTGTAGCGACCAGCCCTTAGGTGTGGAGTGCATTCTTGACTGCGTCCACATTGGATAGTGCGGTTAATTGCATGAGGTTCTATACCTTCTTGACCCCATGATTCGTAGCACTGTACTGATATGGTCCTGGTCCAAAATCGGGTCGTACTGGTTTTGTACTATGGGTCCACCATAACTTGTTGTCTGCACTTGGCTGACTGGGACATGCTGGGAAGATGATCTCACCAATGCCATTTATTCCACTTGAGTGCTGTTGTGCACAGTAGAAAGGTGATGGGCATAGCAAGTGATATCAGTGGTTCCAGTCTGGAGGCCAGAAAATATGGCTTATGAAAATTATAGAAAGACACTGAAAACCTGTCATCATTCAAGTGGGTTAGACGTATATCTGCAATTAAAATTGTCTGGATAGCATTCGCAATCTTGGCAGCATTTTGTTTCTGTCCAATTAATCCTAATAGGCCTGTTACCTTGGACATAAGAGCAACTCTCTTCCAGAAACAAGGGTGGACTTGACTCAGAGCTACCTCTAGAATTTAAAAAGCCTAGGTCCAGCTGTTGGGTCCATAATTCAGTACTTGTTAAAAATAATTAGAAACAAAAATTGGAATATATTATATGTGCAATATAAAATGTAACTCAAATAATAAACAATACCATATTTACCCAAAACCAAGATGATCTGAATTTAAGATGACCCATCCCCAATAATTAGGTTCTATACATGGAAAATGTATACATTTACTATAATTTCCATGTATAGAATCTAATTAATAGAATAAAAAAAAATTAGGGTGGCCTCAAGAGGACATCTAGTCCAACACCTTGCTCAAGACAGGACCATCCCCAATTAGATCATCCAAACCAATGCTTTGCCTAGCCAGGTCTTAAAAATTTCCAGGGATGGAGATTCCACTGTCAGAACCCAGTAGTTAAGTGCCTATGTCACAGTGGAAAGTTTCATTGATTTGATGCCTATGACGCTGTGGAGTTTCTCGCCACAGTGGAATTTTCCACTACGGTGAAGAACCCCAGTGCAGTAAAAAGTTCCCGCCACCTTTATGCAAACACACACACCACCATTGGCCGGTTATAAATTATTCATGTTTGGCGACTAGTGATTGGCTCGCTAGCCATGTAAAGGTTGGAGCAGTTTCCGCCCAAGTCGGAGAACTCCATGCACATCTTGGAGTGAACTTGGCGGACTGATCACCCACCAACGACTCCCCGTCACCGACCGTCCCGACGTACCCCGTGCCCTGCATGCCCGATAAGCCGTTCACGTTATCTCGAGGAGCTCACGATTGCAACTGTAATCTAAATCAGTTCTTCCTACGCTGTATACATCGACGGCGTAAGTAAAAAAATCTCTTTGTTCAACCAATACGCTTCAGTGCCTAGTTCCTCTCCGTCTGTCAAAAGTACCCGCCTGCCGTTTCGGGGCTGCTGGCCACAGCCCGGCCTACCACTTGACTGCCACATCCACCACCTCTCTGAGTAACCTGTTCCAGTGCTCTACTACCAAAACATATTCCCAGATCAGCTTGATTTAAGGTTACATATGTGCGTATCAGTAACTTCACAGTAAAAACCATGGCAGGATATTGTATACTACTTTTATTCCTTCCTTTTCATGTTCCCGTGATAAAGTATTTAGCAGATTTTGTAGATTTGTTGGAATTTGACAGGCTGTGCCATGAATGTTTCTGTTGTGGCCCCAAACTTGCAATCTCTGAGCTGTCAACCATGTACATTAGCACCCAGACCACCCCAGCCCCCACTGATTATTGGGGGTTGTCTTAAATTCACTCCCCAAAAACACTGCAGCAGGGAAAGTAGTGACATGGGGGCAGGCAGTGGGGGAGGGGAGGGGGCAAATAGCCTGACCTTGGCCCTTTGCACTCCTTCCCCCCCACCACTTGTCCTACCTGCTGCCTGTCCTACCCCATGACTGTGGGCCCTGGCCCTTCCTCAGTGCCTGCCCACTCTCCTCTGCTTGTGCCCGCTGCCACCTTGCTGTGCCTGCCCTCCCTTGCCTATGCCTTCTGGCACCACCAACCCCATGGTCCCTTCCCCCCACTGGTGCCCATCTTACCCGGCAGCCCCTGACCCCACTCCTGTCCCCCCCTCCCCCCCTGCCATACCTTGCAGCCTCTTTCTCTCCTCTCCCTCCCACTTGCTATCACTTTCATCTCCAGCCCTATCTGGCACTTGGTCACAGAGCACAGGGTAGCTCCAGCCCCAGCCCAACTAC